ATGAGGAGATTGCTACCCAATAAATACCAAACTAGCTAAATTTAATAATATTTCCCCTAAATGCTCATTTTGTACTCAATATGATGAAACACTAAAGCATTTATTTTGAGAGTGTACTTGCTGTAAAATGTTTTGGGTTGACTTTTTTTAATTTCATTAAAAAATTCTTATTTCCAAACTTCTGTATTTCCCCAAAATTGTATTCTTGGTTACTCTCTGAGTGTAGATCCTTCTCATTGTAAATTTATTATTGATTTATTGTTTTTTATTTATTGTTATCTAGATAATAAATTATTTATTGTTTTTAGTTTTTTTATAGCAAAGTATTTTTCACGAGTCCAACATCGAGCTGTGCAATAAATCATACAATCTGACGCAAGTGAAGTCTTTTTTCGCCACTGTGTTGTTTTAAATAGAGAAAACATTTTACAAATAACTTTTATTCTAAATGGTTTAAAAAATTATTTTTAATTGAAATGGAAGATTCTGACTGAGGAAGGTTGAATGTGCTTTCCAGTTTGTAACTTGTCTTATAAATGACAATTTTAATGTAAAACTAACAGATTCCTATTTTTTTCTAATGATATATGATGTAATTAATTTGTATTATAAATATATATTTTCATATTTCTTAATTCTAAATCTTAAGTGTGATTGCGTTGACCATCAGACAAGCAATTCAGTCAAAAATAGTGCTTGAAATGTCACTAAAATGCAGTATTTAAATCTCATAATTAAATTTAAAAAATAGGCGAATAACTGCTAAGGTTCACTTTTGGAGAAAAAAAAGAACACCCTTTCAACAGGCTGGCTATGGCCTGGTGTGTATGGATGTTTTCCAGTACTTGGTTGCAGCCGGAAGGGCATCCACTGTGTAAAATATATGCCTAATGAGTTGGTGGTTCATTCCCTATGACTCCTGCTCCTGATTAATAAAGAGACTAGCCATTGACTGTAACCCGAAGAACAATGAACGAAAAATAGTTTACACCAGCAGAGGTCACTCAAACTTCATTAAATAAAGAATAAGTAAATATCATTATTAATTATACTCTACTACATGTTGGATAATATCTGTAAGTTACATATGAATAAATAGTACTATCTATTTATTAGTTCTAGTTTCTAATAAATAAGTATAAATATTAAGGGAAAAGATGGAAGCTTAAAAACAAGCACCTTAGTAACATGTAAATAGACAGAATACATACATTAAAATAAACACAACAGCTTGTCATACTGAACTATTCATTTCATAAAGTATTTTTACTGCTACTCAGTAAAAATCAGGTGACACGCATTTTATATGCTAAATGTATTATTAGATACTAGAAATAAAAACCAGGCGACACCGTGGCTCAGTATCAGTCTGTGTTTCTGTGTGGAGTTTGCGTCTTCTCCCCTAGGTTTCCTTTAGGTGCCACACTCCAGTTTCCCCCCACGGTCCAAACACATGCGGTATAGGTGACTGAATAAACTAAATTGGCCATAGTGTATGGGTGTTTCCCAGTACTGGGTTTCAGCTGGAAGGGTATGCGCAGTGTAAAACATAAGTTGGTGGTTCATTCCGCTGTGGTGACCCCTGATGACTTAAGAGACTAAAAGTTGAAGGAAAATGAATGAGAAATAAGAACCACCATAGAAACATCCAACCCTGTCCAAAAACATTTATTCTGCATATCGAGTAACAAAATACAGAAGCCACAAACTAACAGTGAGGAACACATTAGGCTGAGCTGATACATGACAGTGATGAACTGCACATTTTCCACCTTAGAGTTTGCTTCGTTTTCTGCTCTGTCATCTATTATGAAAACTTTTCTCAGAAAATATATTTCAGTGTCTGCAGAGCCTACGGTCAAGTGAATCCTGAAGAGGAAAACATAAATGTGAAAACGAGGATTTGATTTCCAGCTGAGGTCAAACCAATGCACACAGAGGTCAAACAGAACGGGAGAATCGTTTACATTGCTGCCATAACACCAACAGATAAAACTAAGTGAGCTATATACAGTGAGAGGAGTTTATCTAGTGAAATGTGCCTGTGATCACCGTGAAGTCATGCTAGGTTAAACAAACAACAATAAACAAATAAATATAGGCCATAATGGACAGTAGCTACAGCAGGAGTTTGCAGTTTAAAGACATTTGGATTCATCTCTCTCCGTATGGACAGTTTAAAATAACATCTGGGTTTTTGGCAGAATACATTAACGCAACGTAATACACAGCAAAGGACCATCAAGAGCAAATTGCTTGGCTACCTGTTTGAAATATGGCAGGAACATTTTATCACCTGTATAGCAGTTTCACAGTATTACAGCAATACTCATATTGCTTCATTTGTACTGCACATTAACAGAACATTCTGGAAACCAGACTCAGCTGTATTCTATGTAAAATGCAGTGCTTACAGAATACAGATATAAGGGCAGATTAAATAAAAAGAGCTACATAATTCCTTGAAAGATTGTATACTACCTGACAAAAGTCTTGTCGCCTATTCAAGTTTTAGGAAGAATAAATAATAACTTGATGTCTAGATCAGTGGTTCTCAAAATTTTTTCATCAAGTACCACCAAAAATTAGCAGTATTGAAATACAATAGCATAGTAGGTCCAGTAAAGCAGCTACAACTCTGCACAGTTAAAACAACGTGGCAAATTACCTCAGAAATATAGGCTATATTCATAAATGTCATATTATATGCATAATTTTTGAGAAATTTTTAAATGTGTGTAGCATGTACATGACACATTTCATTCCTCCTCGTACCACTAGAAGGAAGCCTGCGTACCACTAGTGGTACACGTACCACAGTTTGAGAACCACTGGTCTAGAGGATCATTTGGTATCAGAAGTGGCTTATATGGAATCCAAAGGCCTCTAGATTAAGGTCATTTTACCAAAATAAAATATGATCATGCCTTGATTTTTTAAGAAGTATTTAATTAGGACAGTAAGGTCTGACTTTGCTTAGACTAGAGTCTTGTCACTGAACAGAAATAAAGTACAGTATAGAATATAAAGTCATGGTGCAGTGAAAAAAGAATTAATATTGTGTACGACTCTCATGAGCTTGGAGGACTGCATTCATACATCTCTGCAATGACTCAAATAACTTATTAATAAAGTCATCTGGAATGACAAGGAAAGCATACTTGTTGGAGTTCATCAAGATTCTTTGGATTCATCTTCAGTGCCTCCTCCATCTTACCCAGACATGCTCAATAATGTTCATGTCTGGTGACTGGGCTGGCCAATCCTGGAGCATCTTGACCTTCTTTGCTTTCAGGAACTTTGATGTGGAGGCTGAAGTATGAGAAGGAGCGCTATCCTGCTCAAGAATTTGCCCTCTCCTGTGGTTTGTAATGTAATGGGCTGCACAAATGTCTTGATACCTCAGGCTGTTGATGTTGCCATCCACTCTGCAGATCTCTTTCACGCTCACATACTAAATGTAACCCCTCACCAAACTGGACTGATTTCTGTGAGAATCTTGGGTCCATGCAGGTTCCAATAGGTCTTTTGCAGTGTTTGTGATGATTGGGATGCAGTTCAACAGATGATTGATCTGAAAAATTGACCTTCTGCCGCTTTTCCAAATCATTAACTAGAAGTTATTATTTGTTGCTCTTACAACTGGGACTGACGACAAGACTTTTGTCAGGTAGTATAGAGCAAACGAAAAAAAAACATGACTCAGCACCACAAAAACACCAGATAATACTGAAATGATGATAGTATTGATAATAACATAATGATTTGTACATTAATCAAGTACAGCAGCAGTTTTAGTTGCTCGTTAGCCAATATTACGACAAAAATATTGATATCAAGTGTAATTTAGCAGCTATTTAGCATCAAACAGAGACAACTGGAGACAAGTCTAAAAGAAAACGTCCAAACGTTTTGTTATATGCAGACAGATTGTAAAGTGGTACATTAGATTGCTTTGCTTTTCTGTTTGATTGTTTGTATTGAAGTCAATTATCTTCTTTAATGGGTTCAGGGTTTATTTTATTCAGTGGCAGTGGTGTTTTTAAACATAGACCAAGAATTCTAATATGGAAAAAGCAAATGTCTTTCAAATAAAGCAGAACATATTTTAACAACATAAATATAACTTCTAATAAAAACTAAACTAACTAAATAAATAAAGATATGGATCCTATTTTGATTCGACATTTTGATTTGATGTTTTTTTACTTTGTAACATTATAACTGTTTGTAAAAAGATTGACATGATTTGGCTTTGAATTGGCTTTAAATTAACAACAACATTTCGAAAAATGAAATCACTATAATTTCTGGAGTTTACAAACAATATATCTTTGATTAGGAAAATACTGATAGACTACTATGGACCTGGGATTTACATTTTAAATTCTTCCTCAAAGATTACAGCATTTTGCACAGATGAAAATGTAAAATGGTGTTCAAGCTTCTAAGCACAATTGAAATTTGTTCCACTAAATTTAGATGTACTGTACAGGGTTTCTGCAGGATTTATGAATTTACATTTTTGAGACCAATGATAGCAATTTTTTAAATATTCTGACCTCTAAAAGTACATTTATGCAGAGTTATTTAGAAGTATTAGCAACACACAAGTTTAAAAATACAACTTTATTTTACTTATGTTAATATGTAGTTCATTAAAAAAGGGAGTTTTGAATAGTTCTGCTGTCAAACATTATGCAAACAGTGACACTGTGACATTCATCCACAGTTTTTATGTTTTGTTTTAGTGCAAATGTCCAAAGATTTATGAATCAGGATCCATGTCTTGTTTTCTGGAAGAAAAAAAAATTATTTAATTCAAACAAAAATAATGTGTTTAATACCTCAGAAATGAGGACTTAATTCCTTCAAAACTACCGATGAAGTTATTATTTTTAATTTTTTGCAGTGCATGCAACATTTATGACTTTCCACACTAATTTAACACTTTTTTTTCAAGGGCATTTAATTGTTGAAAGGTGAATTTTTATAATCGGCAATCCATTGAAAGACCTTTTAAAGACCTGCAGAAACCCTGTGTGTTTACAACATGTGAAGATGCTGCTCTATTTATCACCATATTTCTCAATGTAATCAGCCATTCTATTCCTCTCGATTGTCTCCACTGCGCTGCTGGGATGTCAACATCTCTCCATTGCAACGGGTAGAAGCCGAGGCCTCGGGTGTGGCAGCCAGAGGAACAGGGGTGGTGCTGGGGGTGACGGGTCCTCCTGAGGCTCCCAGTGCTGGACTGGAAGCTCCAGAGTCACTCTGATCCGGAGCCCGGAGCCTCTTCATCATGGTGGTCACACGGACAGCTTTCTGAATAGCACACAATAAAAAACAATGTTTTATTAAAATAACATAATGTTTTAGTATAATATAATATTAGATGGTGGCACTGTGGTGCAGTGGGTAGTGCTGTTGTCTCACAGCAAGAAGGTCGCTGGTTCAAGCCTCGGCTGGGTCAGTTGGTATTTCTGTGTGGAGTTTCTATGTTCTCCCCGTGTTCGTGTGGGTTTCCTCTGTGTGCTCCGGTTTCCAAAGACATGTGGTACAGGTGAATTGGGTTGGCTAAATTGTCCATTGTGTATGAGTGTGAATGAGAGTGTATGTATGTTTCCCAGTAATGGGTTGCAGCTGGAAGGGCATCGGCTGAGTAAAACATATGCTGGATAAGCTAGTGGTTCATTCCGCTGTAGTGACCCCAAATTAATAAAGGGACTAAGCCGAAAAGAAAATGAATGAATGAATAATATATAATATTAAAGTTAGCTTTGCTATGAATATATAATACGCTTTTTTTGTATGCAAACTCATTGAAATTTTGTGTAAATCATAAATTCATTGAAGATAAAAAGGAATTTTCAAGCATCAAAACTATAAAACTATAATACAGCATTAAATTTACTTATTCATTTTCCTTCGGCTTACTCATTTATCAGGAGTCACCACAACAAAATAAACCGCCAACTATTCTGGCATATGTTTTATAAGTACTGAGAAACACCCTCACATTCACACTTATACACTACGACTGTTAGGGGAAACCGGAGCACCCGGAGGAAAAGTATGGGAACACAGGGAGAACATGCAAACTCCACACAGAAATGCCAACTGGCCCAGCTGGGACTCAAACCAGCGACCTTCTTGTTTTGAGGCGACAGTGCTAACCACTGAGCCACCGTTAAATTTTTTACATATATTACAGTCATACACTTTTATAAAGTTGAACTGAAGATTTATTTTTATAGGGTTTAGTAGGTACAATTCAGAATAAATATGTTTAATGCCATTTATATGTTACGCTGAATGACATTGAAATGTTATTTGTTATTTTATTTTCTAAATAGTTATAAAATATATAAAAAACATTTTAAGCTAACCAGGCTTATTTAAAATACAGTAAAAAATTAAATAATGTTTCTTGATGAATATATATAAAAAAAAATAATTTGTAGTTGTGCTAGCAAAGTTGCATTTTCAGCACTATTACTCCATTTTTAGTATCTCAAAAACATTCTAATAAACTTTTTTGCGGCTCAAAAACATTTCTTGTTATTTATGCTGAAAACTATAAGCTGCTTAATATATGTGTGAAAAATATACTATTCACAAATATATTAGGCAGAAAAAATATATATATTCTTTGAAACAGAATTTGAAGCACTACAAATGCCTTACATCAGGGTGCTCTCAACCTTTTTCACTTCAGGGCCCACTTCTTTCTCCGATCAATTTTTGAACACCCACCTGAGCTCATTTAAACCTTTATTTTTCTGCTTTTAACTGGACTGACTAAATATCTACATTTAAATATATAAAAATATACAGACAAATGTAAAATACAGTAAAACACCCTAAATCTGTTGAAACACAATAATCTGATGGTGGTTGAGTTTGCAGCTGGATATTATTGGGATATCACTGACAGGAACAGTGAACAGCTCCACTAGAGCGAGTTTGAGGCTTATACAAGTTTATTTTACATTCTATGGCAGAAACACAACTGAGACTCACTAGATTCTCCTATAGGGGCGAGCGTCCGTTATACTCACGGGACATTCATTTGAACAGTTATGCAGATATATTAAACAGTTTATGCAAAAATACACAAAGAGAGACTTTGACTTTCACTTCACGCATAATTTGTGAATGAACACACTTACGTGTACTAGTTGCAGTCGCGATCATGAAGCTGTTTTTGCACCGTAATAAAGTAATCAATCAGAGAACAGGAGAAAGTGCATTACCTCCATCATTTTAATATAGCATATTAGTAAAATAATAAAATTATAGTATAATATTGAGAGTAAATTTTAAGCTATTTCGCGGCCCACCGGTTGAGAATCCCTGCCTTTCATAATGCATCATAGCAGACTAATAATGTACATGCAAAAACATATCCACATAATCTTACCTTCCATTTAGCTTTTGCAAAGTTTTTCTCGATTTGAGCACAAACGCCATCTTTGATGTTCTTGTCTGAGGCAGCATTTCCAGATATCCTAAAAAGTACAAAAATATAAACACATTTTGTAAATAAAACAGCCAATGCTTCTATTTATTGTACTTGAAAAGTCTCCTTACCACTCATGATTGATGGCTTCCTGTGCGGTCAGTCGTTGGTCCTGGTCCACGTCCATTAAACAAGCGACTAAGCTTTTTGCTGCAAAGCAAATGGTTACAGATTTGATAAGAATCTCATAGATATATTCCACCACAGAGATTTTATTATATCTTACCTGAATCTGAAATGTCGTCCCAGTAGGGTGAATCAAACTCATAGTCTCCAGACAGAATTTTCCGGAACAAGTTCTTATCATGATTGTCATAATCATCATCATCCGTCTCATCATAAAAAGGTGGGTTTCCAGACAGTCTGTCAAAAATTATAATATTTCCAAAAGTCTTGCAGGCTTACTTAGACTAATACATTATATAGTAAATAAATGTTTGTATTTAGGGAGAGAATTAGAAACAGGAAATTATATGAACTTACAAATTGATGATGATCTAAGACAGGAAATGAATTGTACATGTAACTCCCACGATGACTTCAAAACACATGGGTTCTACATCTCAACAAAATGTCTTTTGACAGACAATGAAATGAACACGTTGAGCCACATTATGCAATGAATCAAGTGTACAGATGACGATGATATGAACTCACAGGATGTACATGATCACCCCGATGGCCCAGCAGTCCACCGGTCTGCCATATCTCTGCCTGCCGACCACCTCTGGAGCTGTAACATACAGAAAGAAAAAGCCTGAATCATGATAATTCTTTCAACATGATAATAGGTCAAGAATGAATAAAAAGGTTGAAAAAATATAGTATAAAACTTATTTTTGTTTATCTGAAAAACTCAAGTTGAGTAGCATGGCTATAAAGGTAACTAAAACTTTAAAAATAAAACTATTTTTTGTAAGCTGAAATCAAACAAATGTTAAAGAGTCACAAAACACCAAAACACATTTTCTGAGAAATGAACAGTCAAATATGTGTCCCACATTGCTAAAAACACTATTAGGACACATACATTTAGCTAACAAGTGGAAATTGGTTGTTTAGGGCAAATTTGTTCTTCAGGTTAAAAAAGATATTTTGAAGCTCCGTCACGTTGATGAGGTCACTGTGTAAATTCCAGCATGGAATGGTACAGACATTAGCTGTCTGTACCGGCCAATACAAAGTGATGTTTTATGCACATCTGTTCATTAATTCATGAGAAAGACTTGTTTTAAAGTACTGGCACTCTTGCTCCTTATATTAATATAATCACTGAAGGGTTCATAATTATGTTTCAGTGTATTACGGTACTGTAGTGATGACGTCATGTTGTTTACGTGCTTAACTTTACCACGTTATACTGTTGTTGTACGGAAGTGTTACCGTCTCGTGTTCATGCTGTACAAAGAGAGCATGTGAAAGTGAGTAATGAAAAGACGCTGATAAAACGATTCGTTCTGTCTAGTGCTTGAGCTACGCACTCCAAGTCCAACAACTTGGTTCAAACCAATCAGTGCGCTTTATTGTGAATGAGGTGCATTTTCATTAATATGCATGACATAGCTTCAAAGACTCTTTTACTTATTACAGTGTTGTGAGAGACGCCATGTTGTGTTACCATCCATAATTTAAACAAGTAGTAGAAGAATTGTTCAGAGACATGGCTCATCAGTGTTGTGTTTATAAATGTGCCGCAACAAAGGTTTTGTTTCCATTTCCCCCGATGACAATACAGCTCGCGTGTGGACCTATGCTGTTAGATTACAGTGGTCTGCTAACACACGACAAAAATATTTGTAAGGAACATTATTTTACCCAAGAGCATTGCAAATCTGGAAATGGTGAAATCTGCATTTGCCACCAAACCTGCCGAGATTTGTCTCTCATAATTCGAAAGACTGGGGGTGGGGGTGTCTAGGTGTCAGGCGCGTGGTGTCTGAATAACATAACTAAGTAACTTTGCTATGCCCTGGGTTGCGATCAGATACTATACCAAAGTCTGCGATCCGGGGGTGTTATAGACTGTACCAAAAAGCTGAGGAAGAGAGGGGTGGGGGAGTAAAATTACACGAGTTCTCTAAGAGAAATAACAAAAGGGGAGGGTGGCGGGAGATGGGTCTGAAATAGGGGAAACTTTCGGGAAAAATTAGATTGTTTGCAGGTCTGTTTGTCTTATTTTAAAAAAGATGTGGTTCCAGTTTAAGTTGATTGTCCCATCTCTACGAATTTGGTGAGTGTTTGATCAATGTTCTTTGTTCATGTTTATTCAGAGACTTAGTTAGTTAGTTAGTTAGTATCGTCTATCAGAAATAAAATGATTTAGTAAGTAAGATTACAAGAATATCACTGCAACATTATGGACTGAAAATCCTCCACTTTCACACAGCTCTCAGATCTGCTGTAAATGCTCCTCTCCGAATCATTGTCTATCTTCCCTGCGTCTGTGTTTGTGTTGCCACTGTAAAACTCGGCTGTAGTGCACGTAATGAAACTCTCCTTTTCATGCAAACTCTTCCATCTTTTGCCACTCAACATTCCCACCTAAATATAGCTGGACTCACCCACTTTCCTGACTTCTTTCAAACTAGAAGTGTAAAAACAGCCTACTGAGACAGGGGGGTTTCATGGTCCTTTAACTGAATATTCCATACAAGACTAAATTAAAACTCTTTTTCAACATTTTAATTCAGAAATAAAATCTATGAAAAATTATAACTATAAAAACTTATTTAAAAGAAATAGTTTAAAAACTACATCATTTCCACATCACTTACCCTTAAATATTATAATGATAGTATTATATGTATATGATTAATCATAATTCATAACATAGGGTTGTGAATCAATACATCTAAGTAGCACCTTATGTACTTTTGCTTACCAAGGTACTCGGGTGTGCCACATGGTTCTTTGATGAGACCGTTTTCCAGTTTGGCCAAATGAAAATCGCTGATTACAATTTTGGAGTTCTTCAGACGGTTGTAGTAGACCAGATTTTCCAGCTGAGAAGATAAAGTCATCAAAAAAGTGAACTTCAAAATATTAAAAACTCCAAAATATTCTGAACAGTAAAAAATAAATGATGTTATATTTCATCATATGAAGAGAAGCAACAACATTCTGCTTAACTTCTCATTTAATGTTCCACTAAATAATGGAATGATCATGACTTAGAAGATAAAGATGAGAGAATCTTTCTTTTGTCATGAAATAAGCAGCCTGTGTCTGAAAAAATTTCCAGTGCAATACATAGTGGTGGCCATTAGATGGAAGTAACGTCACCTTCAAGTTTCTGTGAACGATGCGGAGAGAGTGCAGGTACGCCACAGCCTCAAGAACCTGCCGGATAACATTACTAGTATCACGCTCTGAGTAGTAGCCCTGGTCCAGGATCCAGTCGAACACCTCCCTTCCTGTAGCCCTAAAGCAAAACAAACATTCAGGTCAGTTGGCATTTCTGTGTGGAGTTTGCATGTTCTCCCCGTGTTTGCGTGGTTTTCCTCCAGGTGCTTTGGTTTCCCTCACCAGTCCAAAGGCATGTTCTATAGGTGAATTGGCTAAGCTAAATTGTCCGTAGTGTATGTGTGTGAATGAGAGTGTATGAGTGATTCCCATTGACGGGCAGCAGCTCTAAGGGCATTCGCTGCTTAAAACAAATGGTGGATAAGTTGGCAGTTCATTTCGCTGTGGCAACCCCTGATTAATAAAAGAACTAAGCTGAAAAGAAAATGAATGAATGAATAAATATAAACATGAGGTTAAATAAAAATAAGGCATGAAGTTTTACCAATGTCTTCTCATTTATTCTAAATAAGTACCTTCTTGACATTTAACAGTGTAGTTTTGTGTTTAGTCAACAAAGAATACAGCATCCCAGTTGACTCCACCTACCCCATCTTCCCCCTCCCTTTGTGAATGACCAAGTGACCGATATTGTCTTTCTACGTAAGCCTCCACCATGATCATGTGACACAATTAACCACACTGTAAAAAGTACACACAAGTACTCCTTCATGTTGTCTTAACACAAATCAATTAAGTTAACTTGCTTTGAATTGTTTTTTTTTATTACAAATTAAGTTGATGGAACATAAAACAAGTAATTTATCCAACAAAAACCCTCAAAAATTGTGTTGATTCAAATCATTACAAATAATTAGTTTGACCAAGCAGCAAAAATATATTTTGGAGTGCATGTCTACTACACATATGTAGTTTAGCAGAGAAATTAAAAATCTGTCAATGTTTTATGCACTTTTAAAGTCCATGTTTGCGAGCGCACATTGTTATTATTATTGTTAAACCTCAACAACTTCTGGTTCACGCTGACTTTAAACCACAGTTTTTTTTATTATAGAGAAAATAAAGTTCCCTCAACTAATATTGGCACACTTGTTAAATAGGAGCAAAGAAGCCTATAAAAGTCTTAATTGTTTAATCTGTTGATATTTTCTTCAAAATATTAACAGAAATAACGGAAGACAGTTCAAGACAATTAAGTTGTTTTTGGGATAAGAGTAAAGGCCTTTTTCTTGTTATTTCAAGGATGAAACAACTCTGGTCTCCAAAACTGGTTGTGAGAATGGAGATATCTGCTTATTTATGATGAAATTGTTTAAAACACTTTGAATGGTAGCCATTCCATGCGAGAAGGCCGCGCAGCTGCTGAATCTAATCTGTCTGATGAAAGAGACAGTTTCCCCGGCTCAGGTGCTGATGATGAGACTGCTGTCTCCACCTCATGTGGGGAATCAGTATTTGTCTCATTAGCTTTAGGTCTTTTGGCAAATGTCTCTATTAAGTTTTCTGTTTTAAAGAGCGTTTACTCATTTTGAACCTTGGTTTAAACAATAGCTATTTGAATGTTTTTTAAGTGCGGAAAAACCGCCAGCCAAACTAAAGACAATAGATTTCTTTACCCATCTCCCATCATGTAAGTACATACACACTTTAAAACACACAAACACACAGCTTTATTTGTTGTCATTTTTTCTTGCTTTGCCAATATATCATAGTGTATACTGTTTATTAATCAATATAAATTATGTAATAAATAAATAAATAAATATATAAAAAGCAGCATTAATTCGCACCCTCTCGTGGTAGGTATGCACAGTGCATACAGCCATATGGCTGCAGCCGCCACTGCTCAAGGGTGCCAATATTAGTATTGGATATGCTAGTAAATTCTTTATTCTACATCTAAAAAAAGCTCCAAACCTACTACAATGAAAGCAAATAGTATGCATCCGCACACTTGTATTTTCATTTTTACTCTCACAGACAAAAACCCACAGCACTTACAGCTCCAGAAAGAGGAAGTACTCTTTTCTCGTCTCAAAGACATCTACCAGCTGGAGGATGTTATGATGCTTCACCCTGTGGGGAGAGACAGAGAGAGAAACTGTGACACTGTGAAAGGAAGCAGAGTAGAAAGTGAAAAGAAATCATAACTATCTGCAAAAATAAAATCATTTGCATGGTAAAGAGTCCACCGCATTCTGCAAATCTTGTTAAACAAATTTCAGCACCGAGCGCCATCTGCGAGTACCTTTCTTCTCTAAAATGTGGATCTTATAAATAACCTGCATGGGAAAACATACATTTTCAAGATGAGGATCTCGTTTTTGGCTGCTTTCCGTACTTTCCTCCCGTCTTTCTTCAGGAACTTTTTACAGGTGTACATTTTCAGTGTGTTCTTGTCCTTCGCCCTGAAGATTTCACAAAACTCCTCCCTGTTGATGGACAATAAATCATGATTTAAGTAAGATAATTAAATAATTTTGGAAATGTCATGGATTTTTAACAGTTCAGTTAATATGCATTATAGAAATAGTTCAATAAACAATATAAAAAGAAAAGATACTACTAATCAGAGATGTCCAGATCCGATCACGTGAGAATTGGACGTTACCTCCCGATCAGGACTCAAATATATTGCATATGTATTTGTTCTCATTATTTTGTAAAACATCTATAGCTATGCAGTGGGACAGAGTTAGACCTCTTTCTTGACTTCACATAGAAAGCGCGAGTATTTCTTGCGCCTTGTCTGGAGGTATTATAAGTTGATGACGACAAAATTGCCATAGCAAACTGTGAGATTGCCTGCTGGGTATTTAAGTTGAGGGTCTCTTTGTTACTATTTATTTTGGCTTTTTATTGTAGTTACTGTTGCACTAAAGTCCAAAAGTTTAGAATCTATGTTATTAAACACTTGATCATTTAAACTACCAACAGAAGTGCTCTGATTGTTAACAGAGCTTTCTCTTCACTCTTCTTTTATGTATTATAGAAGTACCAGATCGGGTTTTGGTATCGGTAGATACTCAAAATCAAATGACTCGGACTCAAGAGCAAAAAAACCTGATCGGGACATCCCTTCTACTAATACAGAACCATAGAGTTGTACTCACGATTTTACTACCTGTCCCAGGTCATACTTATCAGTGACCTCTGAAGGACTGTTGTAGTCCTTCTTCTCTCCCAGAGTCAAACAGCCAAATGGCATGGCTGCTCCTGCCCTGAAATCAAACATTAAAAGTTCTGTAAAGGAGTGTAAAGAAGGATTGTGTGTGCAATAAGGACATGAAATATATCTAAAACCAGTGAGTCAATAGAAGAGAAATTCTGTATGCAATTTCTTCAACATGTATAATAGAGCTTAAGATTTTCATTTGATTGAGTGAGATTTATATTTGGAGATACCCAAGCTAGTTAGGAAACAGGGAGCACATCATAGAAAAATCCTAACATTAATAACTTATACTGTACTATCTGTTTGCTAACATGGTCATTTAAATCTTAACTGCAAACAGGAATGTTGTATTACAAAACATCCTAACAAAAAAAAAAAAACTTCAAAGCAACCTGACAGCCCACCTAACTTCAAAATATACATTCAGTCATTTATTTTATTTTCGGCTTAGTCACTTTATTAATCCGCCACCGCAGAATGAACCACCAACTTATTCAGCAGATGTTTTATACAGCGGATGCCTTTCCAGCTGCAACCCATAACTGGAAAACACACATACACTACTGTCAATTTAGCTTACTCATTCCACATAAAGCGCATGTATTTGGACTGTGGGGGAAACCGGAGCACCCGGAGGAAACCCACGTGAACACTGGAAGAACATGCAAACTCCACACAAAAATGCCAACTGACCCAGCCAAGGCTCGAACCAGCGATCTTCTTGCTGTGTGGCGACAGCGCTACCCACTGCACCACCGCGCCACATTGTCAGATGTGTCACATACAAATAAACAACAATTCAAGCAAAAACAGCCATGAGCCCTTGTCGAGCTCTAAATCTGCACTGTACTGCATTAGTCTAATCATCCTGTAACCTACGTCTGCACATTACCAAGCACATTACCAGCCTCTCAATGCACAATACGGTTGATGACTAGAGAATTTCTGTCTTCTATCTACCCTCTGAGTGCATATTTTAATTGTGCCTGTTTTGAAAAGCCGCTGATGTGCTTGTTGATGATGGTGTGAATTTAATAAATTATGGAGAAAGTTTTTTGCTGTGAAGCCTTGAGATGCCGCTCCGCATTCATTCATTGACAATTAAAATGTACGCAGTTGTTTTTTCTTTTTTTTTTCTTCCATTGAGCTTGGAGTTAGCTCCGCGACCCTGTGCTTTTCTCTAAGTCTAAGCCAGAACTCAAAGAGGAGGAATAAATTCTCATTTATCTGTGAGCGAGAAAAAAAGGGGGGGGGAGAGAGAGATTTGGCAGACAGCACACTCATAACCACACATGAGTAATGCCTACAATTTATTCCAAAAGTGACAATTTCCACTTGTGGCAGGAAGTCGCTCTGAAAAATTCTGATTCTCTGAACATTCAGTAATCATGGTTATGGATGACAGATCTGAGAGCAAACAACAGGAAAAGACTGCAGAAACTTCTGCCAGATAATTGACATTCATCGGACAGTCTTAAATTGTTTGTATTAGGATACAAAATGATAAAAATTATGCTTTAAAGCAGGGTTTTTCAAAGTCTTAGACAGTGGGGCTCCCTTTTAACACAATCCATCTTATCTATTGGCGCCCCCCTCCTCCCAAACACGCACACGCCGCGCGCACACACACACACACACACACACACACACACACACACACACACACACACACACACACACACACACACACACACAATTCTGGAGGTTTTTCTGCTACCTCATCATGTTTGGTTTCAAGATGTCGCCGAAGTTTAGCGGGTCTCATGCTGTCATTAGCCAAAATATCTTGACAAACCACACATAAAGGTCGTGGTTCATCATCTGGTCCTGTCCACGTAAATCCTAAACTCAAATACTGATCATCATATCGTCGTCTTTTGGGTTTAAGCCCTGAACTTAAAGGCTTTGAATCGGGGGGACTCAGAAACCGATCCATTGTATTAGCAGCATGATTAGCAGGCATATACCTGTATTGGCGGGCTTGCCAAACAGAAGCGAATTCACAGCTATGGCCTTCTGGGTAAAAAAGGTTTTCTTATTTTTGACATATTATTTTTTTTAGTTTTGTTTAATTAAAACATTTAAAAATAATAAAAAATACATGTAATAATTAAACTTAATAATTATATTTTTATTACATAATATTTTTCCCGCGCCTCCCCTGACATGCTCTGGCGCCCCCCAGGGGAGGCGCGCCTCACACTTTGAAAACCCCTGCTTTAAAGGATCGTTCACTAAAACAATTCTCTCTTTATTTACTCACACTCATGTCATTTTTAACCTGAATAATAGTAATAGTAATAGTAATAGTGCTGTTGTGGAAAAACTAAATATTTTTTTCATAAATGAAAGGTAACAGCGACCTTAATGACATGGACAAAATTACTCAAACATTAGAAGTCATACTGTTTTTAATCAAAATGAGAGTGAGTGAATGATGTTTACATGGACATCAGTAATCAAATTATTTGCCTTAATCTTAATAAGATAATAATATGAGGTAAGTGTGTTAAAAGTGTGAGTTGCTTTTTGAATGTTCCTTTCATGATCCCGTTTTACGTTACAGCACATAATTCGATCAACATCATTGCGTCACCACGCTATCCACAATTCCACTAGAGTTTAATGTAATTTCAGGTTTCATTTTTCAACTGCAGTTTGGCACTTTTACTTTCATTTAGGAACATTTCATGCATGCCCTCGTGACAAACAAGATATTGGATGCGAGTATGAACTGCTGGAAGATTGCTTCAATGTAATTTGATACCACATGCTGTATATTACTCTTTGTTTGATAGACTGTGCGCTACTTTTCTGAAGAGCGAGGAGGGATTCGGGGATGAGAAGGGTGCGCAACTTATTTGAGGATCGGAAGATTTCCTTGAGATTATCGCTCATTTGTGGCCATTATGAGTCCCGCAAATGCACAGAGACTCCCGGAACATCGGTTGTCTGAATATCATGTTTAACAACTATAGTGAGACGCGATCCAGCGGTACATCCTTGAGCTAAGAGGAGCACATGACAGTGTGTGCCTGTGTGTGTGTGTGTGGTCACGTAATGTGCGTTTTCAATGGATGGAGGGCTGTTCAGAAATGCTAGGTAAAACACGATGTGGAGGTGGATCATTTTCATTATAAAATGCCATTTTAACACTAAGATGTATTAGTGTAAACAGGGTCAAAGTGTGCATTTTTCACGAGCGGGTTTGCGACAGGGGCAGGGTGGAGGATCGGCGATGCTGGCTCAGCATCGTGTTGTCTATTGGCCATCGGCAATGGACGATGACATCGTCTATCGGCCCAACCCTAATTGCAACGGTATAAAAATAAAAAATCGGCATACTCCACTTGTCTTAATTCAATGTTTAGTTCAATTAAGACTTTAATTGGAATAAATTTATCAAAAAACTGCTGTTTACATGGAGGACTCTTAATCAGAGTATTGTCTTAATTATATTAAAATTGGATCATTGATCTTCATGTAAACATACTCAATAAATAGGCTACATTTAAATGGACACCATTAATGCGATTTGAATAGTATTAAGAGAATACTCTGATTAAGATTCTACCATGTGAACAATGATTTTTGACTACCTTAAGTCAAAAAACTACCTGACTACCTAAAGTCATAATCGAAATAAACAGAAATCGAATGAAGGCATGTTTAGTAGGCCAATTTTTTATTTTTATACCATCACATAATTGAAGTGCAGTCCAAACATGTAAATACCTTAATCAAACTATTACCGTCTTGTTTCTTGACACAATTCTTTGCACCTACCAAATCAGTCAAGAACCACAGACAAACGCATTATGAAATACAGAGTACAGTTTTTTTTTTCCCCCATAGCGTGTGGGAAAAAATTCCATTAAAACAACCAGCAGTTCATACTCACATCCAATATCTCATTTGTCATGGGGGGCATGCATGAAATATTTCTGAATGAAAATGAAAGTGCCAAACTGCAGGTAAAGTCAATTAATTAAAAATGAAACACCTGAAAATTACATGAAACTCCAGAGGAAACGTGGAAAGTGTAGTGACGCAATGACGTAATCAAATGATGAGCTGTAACATGTAAACCAGGATCATGAAAGGAACATTCAAAAAGCAACTCATGTAAACACCATAATCATATTATTGTATTTTTCAGATTAAGGGTACTGATAAAAGTCCACATGGCTAAAGATCTGACATGGACTGCTCACACAGACGCAGTGCTGAGGAAGGCACAACAACGCCTCTTCTTCTTCAGGCGTTTCAGGAGGTTTGGAATGAGCCTCCGCTCATTCTACATCTGCACTGTGGACAGCATCCTGTCTGGCTGTATCACCACCTGGTATGGAAATAGCACCAGCAGCAATTGCAAAGGTCTACAAAGGATTGTGCGAAATCTGGACGCGTAGTAGGAGGTGAGCTTCGGTCTCTCCAGGACGTCTACACCAGTCGGTGCAAGAGGAAAGCCAAGAGAATTATCAGCGACTTCAGCCACCCAAGCCATAGACTTTTCTCTCTGCTACCCTGAGGCAGACGGTTCCGCAGCATCCGGTCACGCACTAGCTGACTGAAGGAAAGCTTCTACCCTCAGACTATCAGGCTGATGAACACTTAACACACCCCGCACAGACTCTTCTATACCCTCACTGCACACCATCAATATGTAGCACGCACTGCACTTTAACCTATCCATACTTGAAACAATACTGCCTACAACTATGGGTACACCAATTCATTTGCACATACCGTTGTCAATTTTACATTGTCCTGTTTTTTTTTTTGTTTTTGTTTTTTAGGAGTGTGCTGTTGTATTTTGCACTATCTTTGTATTTGCACTGTCTGTTTATTTGACTGTCTGGAGCCAGCACCTAAGCTTTTCACTCATCATAGCACACGTGCTGCTGATGATGTGACAATAAAAGTGATTTGATTTGAACCATGTAAACATAGTCACAAGCCCCAACCCTAAAAAGGAGTTTGGTATTTTGATAACAACCTTTCCACAGGTTAGTGGTAAGCTAATGTAATTTCATGTAAACATAG